GCAGAAAAATACTTCCGGCCGAGTAAACTAAGTCTCGAATTTTTCATGACTGGTTTAATTTGTAGACAGATTTTATTTGTTGAATAAAACATCTATTACATTGTGGTATTTAATTATTTAAACTTATGGCTTATGTTGAAACACTGTTTTTTTTTTTTTTTACTAATATGTGGTACGATTTCTTAAGATTAAAGTTTTATATCAGGCTATCTATAAAATCGTATTAAAATGTATTTTTTTTTTTAATTGTCATTTAATGGTTTAATAATTAAAACATTTAAAAAAAAAATGTTAAATCATTTGAAATTTTGAATTCTAGAACAAAAAACGTTATGAAAATATTTTTAAAATGACAATAATAATTTTAGAAAACATTTCTATATTTTTTTTTTTCGGTCTAAGAAAGGTAAACAAAATAGCAACAATGTCAATTTCGGAGTTGTTAAAGTAATGGTTTTAAAATAACGACTTGTTTTCAATTTAGCTTAAATTATGATTTCAGTGAACACAGAAATGTTTTATGTTTAAGTGTACACGCGGTCATGGTGATGAGAAGTACGAAGTAAGTTTAATTTTTGCTGCAAAAGATCTGCGCTTTGGAACCATAAACGTTGAAGATAATTGATATTTCTTGGATTAAAAAAAAAACACATTCTAAGAAGTATGAATAAAATAATATAATCACATTTGTCAAATAATAATAATACATTTTGAATTTAAAATAAACTTAACATTATAATAGTTTCATTTGTAATAACAATATAATGTCATAGTAACTCAATAAAAATATTTTAATATAAATATATAATCATGTGTTTTTCGTACTACCTGCTTAGCAGTTAATATTTTAAACCCAATTTTAATAAAAAAACAATATTAAAATTGAAAATCATGTGATTTTAACAAACTTTTATTTTTAAAAAGGCCCAATTTCCAAATTTTAAAAAATCCCTTGATCTTAATTTACATCACCAATGGCAAGAATTATCCCAGTTACACAGAGGCCACCATCGTTGTGTTTTTTTGGAGAGGACAAAAAAAGATAAATGACCGCTTGACTTAAGAAGAAAATAAAACTTTACAAATTGTTGTGAAATGCTGTATATTATAATGTAAGAAAATAAATCATTGGCTAATGAGTAAACATTGGATTGAAAAAAAAATTTAAACCACAAGTTGAATGCATAAAATGTCATATGATTAAAGGTATAAGGATTAAGGGCACTATAGGTACATGACAAAAGGGGTAATGTAGCATAAATTATATTAGTATGTTATATACCTAATAGTATAATAGCAATATAAAAATAACTTTAATGAGAACTTGTTTTCGACCAAATACAAAACTATACATTATTTGGGTGTGTGTATTCTTTAATGTGTTAAACACTTAAACACACTAACGACAAAACAAAATATGAAAACAACGGGTTTTTGCTAAAGAGCAATATTAGAGTTGAATCTTTATGATATCAACAGACATTTGGTATTTGTTTACATTGCAAACAGTCCTTGTGAAATAGTCTAATACATACAATTTTGTTTACTCTAATATCTAAGCTCTTTATGTAGCTAAATTTATTTGAGTGGAAACAAAATAATATGGTAATAATATTATAGACAATTTAAAATAATTGTAAAAATATAAACTTGGTTTGAGCTTATTCTGCATTTAACTTATATTTATTGAATTTATACCAATATTTTGTTTATAAATAGTTAATTATTCATATTGGAAGGGGGTTTCCCATATTTTCTGAGCGATGCCTAATAAACGGTTGAGTTAATATAAATAATTATAGAAGACAAATGAATTATATATTTTTATGTTTTAATGTGTCCATCACGCCAAATCCTATATAATATACCTACGGGTTCAACGTGGTAATATAGAAGTAGATAAAATGAATAGGTATTTGAAAATAACTTATTTTCTCTGCTTATAGGTAGACATATTTCGCTATATTTTTCAATATTTTGAATTTTCATCTTTTATTTTATAAAGGGAAACATATTATATTTACAAAGCCATAAAAAACGAACAGATTGGTGTAAATTTAAAGTTCAAACGCTGACATTCTTTAAAATGTGTGGTCTGCACGTTTATGAAAATAAAAACACATGTTCGCGTTTGAAAAAACCCGCATCCATACTTGTACACGTAAACAAGTATCGACCTATTTTTTTTTTTCAAATAGCAACAAATGTTTTTAAATCCGAAAATTTCTAGACGAAATTTTTTCAAACGTTTTTACCGTTTGAACTTTTAATTTTCATCAATCCGTTCGTTTTCTATTCCTTTGCATAGATATTACAATTTCCCTCACAATATTACATTACATGTTTTATGTTAAATTTTGGCGATTATTAAGAAAAATGCAAAAAATAAAATAATACACGTTATGCAGACAAATCATACTCTGGGAAACTATTTTTGTTTTTGATTTGTTTTTCAAAAATATGACAATATTTATAATGTTGAAACACAGAAGTGTCTATAATGCCCAAAGAAGTTAATTGTCTTAATTTAACATTGCAGGAAGAGCCATTGTGGGAAATAATTAGTTAGATTTTTATTTTTTATTCTAACTACCCAATATGGCAACGAGATTAGTTTACTAATTTGTGTGGTTACAATTTATGTAATCAGGTTTACAGCAGCATTGAAAACAATTAGATCTCAAATTTCCTAAAATTAAAATCATTCCATTTAATCGTCAAAAATTCTGAACTAGCTTCTAATCCATAAATAAAAATAAAAACACAATATTTGAACAATACACGTGCACGATATTTTTCTGTTTCTGTTCTAAAACTATGTTTGTACTTATAGAAGCCTCTGTCCCGTAGAATTTCAAAAGAAGATAAAAGTCAAAAGAGCTGTAATTTTGTATTTTGGTCGATTAAACATTTTATTTTTTATTTGTAGCCAGCCATTGACAACGTTAAGAAGCTAAGATTTACATTATTTCATATTACTCCAAAAAAGTGTTAAACGAATAATTGCATATGATATTCTGATAGCTTAATTGAGTTTGAGATTGCATACAAAAATATATTGGAAACATGTTGAAGTAAAGTTAGGCCTTTTGAGACTTGATAAACAGTTCGGCCTAGAAACCATATTATTTTACATAGGCGTACCTTAGCTTTGACATGATTTTAATTGAATTGTAATTTACAATATCAAAAGTAGTTAAACCTGAGACATCAGACACCAAAAAACAGATATGTATAATATCTGTTTTTTCAACATTTAAACCTATGTATTTTTACATGAGTAACCTACATATTTTTTTTAGTTTAACACGAAAACATGTTACTATTTGAACAACACACGCGCACGATATTTTTCTGCTTATGTATTAAAACTTAAAGTGTACTTAGACTAAGAGGCTTCTGTTATATAATTGTATAAAGGGTCTCCAGGGATATTTTAGGGTAGATACAGGGTAGCTTTTAGTCCTGGTTAGTGTAATTTAATTTAGCCCTAGAAGGCGGACAGTCGTTGGTGTGATCCACTAGCCGCACTGCACCGTAACAATACTTATTTAAATGTTTATTTGCATTGTTAGGGGGGGAGAGAGTTATTATTTCTGTGAGTTGCTATAGTTCTTCTAAACTTCCACAATTACTCTATGATAGGTCAATACTAAAATAAATAGATTTACCTAGAGTTGATAGTCTGAAATTCAAAATAATGGGTAGATAATGTTATATAAATCTACCACTTTTAAAAAAAATAAGCACCCATTACACCAATCATTTTTTTTTTATGAATTAATTATAAATCTATGTCTATGTAGAAAATTATGTTATTTGAGTTTGATATGGATTAGTACAGTCTCGCCACACGTTTTTCACTTCTTAATACTAAAATTTGTCATTTTATAGTTTTTTTTTCCATTGAGCTATTGGTTATTTAAATTGATTAATTTAACCTAATATTCAGGGGAGTAGACAATAACATAATATTTCTTTAGGAAGTCACATATCCAGTAAATTTTTGTATATGGAAATTATACAGACAGCATTCAATAGTTATATTATATTTTCTTATTGTTTTCCGTTTACAGAATTCTCTCTTAAACTTTTTGAATTTTTAGAAACATTCAATGTGTGTTTTTTTTTCTCTAACATTATAAATAATTACAATTAACTATAACCATAAGACTAGTTGGGGTAAAGACGGAAACATGTTCTTTATTATTACTAAACTAGTAAATATTGAACAAAAAATAAATCAATTCAAGCACAGAAATTAAAATTCAAAGAAATCTCTGAATTTTTTCAGGAGAAAAAAATTTCGAGTTAGTTGTGTATGATGTCCAAATATTATTTTTGGTATACATTGTAGCTATTATTTCTAGCCAATAGAGATAATAAAACGTACCGACTGTATTTGATAACCTAATGTAAGAATAACAACAATACGGCATTACATTTTTTTCCTAAAAAAAAAAACAATCAATGGCGCAACTAGAGGATGAGGGGCTGAGGAAGTGCTGACTTTTTAAAAAATCTGAAAGCTACCTTTGAATATCAGTAAAAATTATAAACCTTTCTAAGATATACAGGAAAATTTGTACAAATAACGACTGTCTGTTGGTGCAATGTGATTTAAGTGCATATTTAGTTACTTGGGATGATAACCTTGATTTAAAGCCAACGCAAAATGTCTACCCTAATTCCTATTTCAAAACCCTATCACCTAGAAGGAATGGAAACTTTTGTCTATATTTATCTTGCTCGAGCAAAGTTTTAGGAAGTTTTAGGAGGACTGAATACTAATATTAATAATAAAAGTGGGAAATGTTTTGGCTGAATCAACAGTGAACAATATTTATTCAATTTGAACGTTTTACAACATGTTTTTCTGGCCTATTCTCTGCAAATAAAAAACTGAGGGCCCTCCTAAATCTTTGAGACGCATTACATGTGTTGGTATATTTTAAATTATTGTTGTTTAATCTGTATGATCAGGTGTAGTTTCTGTGTTTTTTTGTTAACGGGTCCACATCGAGGTAACTCGGATCTTCAATCGTTAAATTCACTCGCATTCCTACGGTTGTTCTTAACGTTTAACATTCTCGTTTACCGCAATACACTCTCATTCGCATTATAATGGCAAACATCAGTTACTTTATTGTTTTATTTGTCTTTGTTGTCTTTACGTTTGCAGGCGACGACGATAGTACGTATAATTTTATGTATAATTTATTTTTATACCATAATCCATATTGTATTTATTATGTACTAACTCAATCTATGATTTATCTAAGCAGCTATCACATTTTCGCCAGATTTATTCAAAGTGGATGCCATGGCTGTCTATAAATTCACTGACAGTAATTATAATTTTTTTTATCTTAACTATACTCGTAATATTATGTAAACGTTATACTATTATGATTATAATCATAGGCGAACCTAAGACTTGATTTATAGTGGGGTCTATATAATATAGTAAATGTAATTTTTTTTAGAAAAAACACATACTGTTCTAAAACATGGTAAAAAATTTAAAAAAAATTTGAACTAAATATCAACTAAAAAAAAAATAATTTTTATACAATTTGCCAATCAATTGTACCACATTTATTAAAACGTCAATTACTTTGAAAACACCCGAAAATAATTACTATTTTAAATAATATTAACCATCTTTAATCTTTGTCTTAAAATAAAGTCGTGGGACATTTGCACGGTTTTTTTAAAAAAAAAAATAAATATTTTTTTATTAATTCAAAATTTGTTTACCATTTTTTTAGAAAAGCATATTTATTTTAACTATATTCATAATATTATGTAAATGTTATACTATTATAACAAGAATCACGGCCGAAATTAAGACTGGTTTTTTGGTTGGGTCTATATAATATCGTACATGTAATTTATCGAGTAAAAAATAATTACTACAATTTTTTTTAAAACCACATTTTCTAAAAAAAAATTTTAAAAAACCCACGTTGTCAACAAATAAAATCTGCCAACAAATTAAACCAGACATGAAAAAATCGAATATTAGTTTACTCGGGCCAGAAGTAGAAGTTTGCTTTTCTGCTATAGTTTTCTTACTATATTCCTATTATAACAAGTAGTAGGAAACCATACTTAGACTTGCGGCCAAGTAAACTAATTACGATTTTTTCATGACTGGTTTAATATGGAGACACGTTTTATTGTAGTATTTAATTAGTTCCTGTATTTTATAGCTTATGTTGAAACACTTTTTTTTTTACTTAGCGACCATTTACATTGAGTTAACGAAGCGTTTTTGTTGGGATTAATATAAACTAAAAATCCATTTAAAAGTCGTCATACTAAAAAAACGGGTGTGTGTGGTTATTTTTTAATGTCATTTTAATAGTTTAATAACCTCATGTTATTTTTTTTCAAATTTAAAAATTGCCTTAACTAATACAAACAGATTTTTAGGCAGAATCATAAGTGTTATGTTCTTAACACTAAAGTGATACTAGATCAGAATTTAAAGACTGAATATAAATTAATAAAGTTACCACACTATCGTTAGAATAAAACAATAATAAATTATCATACGATATATTATAGTGTATATACTAGAATAAACAATAGTGGAAGAATCGAGTGTTTTATTTTTTATTTCATAAGAATTGTTTTACTTGCAACCTTTTTGATCACAAGTAGAAAATAATTATACATATCCAAAATGGTGTTTTCAATCAACGTATTTAACAAAACAAATAAAATATAATGAATAAATAATTAATAGAATATATAATTAATGCATTATATTAATGATCTCCCTAACGTTGGTTTATTATGATTATTTTACCTGATATAATACAAAATAATACAAATTTTGAAGTGGGATAGATTTGAATTTGAGACCATGGCGTATATTTTTTTTATTTTATTCTTAAATTACTTATTTTCTAAGTCTTATTTAAAATTAAGATTATATAATAGTGTAGTAAAGAGTAAGAACCAAAAAACCAAATTAATGAAATGTTCCTCACTAAGTTAAGTGTTAAAAATTGCTTAAATTTCAAGACAATTTGCTTAAAACCCAAATACGCCTTATAAATATTGTATATTATAATTTTTAAGTTTTATATTTGCATTAAATAAATGAAAATAGTTTTATATAAAATAAATGAACTGTAATGCACAATCTACCCTTATTAGATTTAAATGTACTATATAGAGATGAAGTAGATTTGAATAAAAACAAAGATTTGTTTAAAAATGTATACATTATATATTACTTAATTGGCTAGGTTAGGAATAGTGTTATAAAGTGTATAGACCAATTAACTACCGGGCGGAATGCTCAAACTTTAAATTTGCCATAAAATAAAATTATGAAAAATATTCAAATCCACCTCATTATTCCCTATAATTTATGGGGCATAAAACATTTTTTTCAAATTTGACTGAGACATTCATTTAATTTGTTTTAAAACAGTTATTTAATGGTTAAAATTAGAGTCTATTGTTTTTTTTTTAATCGAAATCAAACAAGAATCTTACCCAATCTTTTAATACTAACTAGTATTGTAGTCGGTCGGTAATCACATAATTAATTAGTTTGTTAATTTTTTTTTTTTTCATTCCAGAGAAGGGTTTTATAATGTTTGTAGAAACAGGTAATAATATAATAATACGGGTTCTCGGATAAAATGTTATTATATATTACTTTTCTTGCAGATGGCGTAAATCCACAAAGTGATAAAAGTAAATATGAACTTTTTTAATTTAGTTTCAGGTAAAATTGTATTATTAAGTATTTTCATCGCAGGTAAACATCCAAATCAAGGGTGTATATTTATATATACATGAGTTGGGGCATAGGGGTGATGGCTTATACTAGGATCAGGGAGGTCATAGTTTTTTTTAGAAATTATTATTACTGAAAGTATATTATTTACCTTTTAAATAAACATTCCCAACAAAATCTATGATAATAATATTCATAGACTTGCTAAATGAACAAATCGGTTATTTCAAATAAATACTTCTTAGCTGTGCTTGGTTTTTTTTTTAAATTAAACTTTTAGTTAAAGCTGTAATTTTAACCTAAATTTAATTAGCGCAGAGAGAGGGGAATGGGGTGCCCACGATTTGCTACTCCTATGGCAGAATATTTAAACACAGATATTTTAAAATTATGTAAAATATTTTATATAATATATATATATATATATATATTGTATTTCATTAAAAACGTTTATGCTTTACAGCTCCGTTGTTTGTTATAAATGAAAGGTGAGTATTCATATTGTTATCAACGCTTTACTTGAAAAAAACACTTTCGACTTGTATTTTTACAAGGTCAAAATCAGTTAGGCTACCAGACTATCATACTACAAATAATTGTAATAAACTTTTGTGGGGGTTTTAACAAATACAATAGTGTTAAGCTGGTTACCGTTTTCCATCGCTGATAATTAGGATATTTTTTATTAATTTATGGAAAAGGGGGACACTTTTTTAATTGTTGACATTACCTCAAGTGAAAGATTGGCTGTGCTAAACCAAATAGGTATCTCCTATAGGGAAATATATATATATATTTTTTGTTCTGCTCTGATATTTAAAAAAAAAATGTATAATTATTTTATTTTACTTGCCTATTAGTTACGATGATTGGGCCTACGTTGATATTATCAATAAGCTACTAGATAAGGATATAAGCAGTAATAATAGATACGGAAGACGAATTTATTTCGAAGTATCTAAAATGAAATTTGGAACTATAAAAGCTAATAGAGGATGATACATTTTGGGAAAAAAAGAAAATAAAACTTATTATTCTACAAAGCATGAATAAAATATTATAATTACAATTTTCGAATAATATAATACATATTTTTGAATTTTAAATAAACATAAAATTATAATAGTTTTATTTTTAATAACAATATAATGTCATAATAATTAATAACACAATAAAAATATTTTAATCAACATATATATGTAATCATGTGTTTTTGGTACCTAATTTTCCTAAAAAACTTCTTTATAGCTATTGCAAAATATAACATAAACCCTCAACCAGTTAGGTGCTTATTTTTGTAAACGATATTTTTTTATATTTCTCTCTAGAGCAACTTTAGTCTAATCAGCCAAAACCGCTTGTTTCTCATTTTACCCTAGTCCCAAAAATCATCTGGAAATCTACCTTTATCACAGATTTACATTGATTTGAATATTTTAAACTATTACTTGACTTTATTTTATATTTTCCAAAAAGACAATTATAGCACAAAAAAAACATTACCTTTATCATATAATTTTTTACCGTTGGTGTTAACACTTTTTGTCGTCTAACCTTGGCTTAATCAAATATACGCAAAACACATGTGATATTATACTTTTTCGCATCTCTATGTAACCAAATGTTGAAACTTTAATTTCAAATCCATCCCACTCAATACCAAGTAGATACATTTTGTGATTTATAGCGAATTGGTCCAGTATTAAAAAAGTTACAACGCATATACAGACACAAAAAAAGAGCTCACATCATTGCAAAAACCAATAGCATCGCTGCTCCACATCGAAGTTATAAAATAGATCTATCAATTTTAAAATTTTGCTGTTCGTGGTAAATTTTCAACAAATCGGTGGTTTCATTTTAGGCCACAATTTTCATAACTGTTTGATATACAAATAATATTAAATGAGAAAAAAAAACGTTATACACATTGCTGCTACGTACTAGATGGTAAAAACGAGTAAACGTTTTCAAAATTTTACCCAAAAACGTATAGCTGTAATTGCAATTGTATGACCAAAATGCGAGTCTGAGTTTACTGTTTTTCGATAAATATTATTTTGACAGCATACGACTGACGATATTCTTTATCATAGACACGATCACTATGATTGGTCTCATCTTGCTTAAGACGGATATGTTAATTAATAAAATATATAACCAAAATTTCGTTATCATTCGTTGTCCTACTTTGATCTACAAAAAAAAAAAACTTTAAATCGAATTACAGAATTAAAAAACAAAAAAGTAAACGAGTCCTATTCATAAATACACTACACTGATGTTTTATGTTGTTTGTTAGACCTATCTTCAGACTAATTATCAGTTCTTAAATCTTAAAAATATGTCAACCTTTCTAGGAGGGGGGTGGGGGGTTGTCAACATTTCGGTTTTTCCGTGTGCGATTTTGTTGACAGCAAATTTTATATTGGAAACGCTAAGGTTATAATAACAAATCGAAAATATTTTCAAAAAAATCATAAAATTTCGGCACTTGTGCACACATGAGAATGTCTGAGTACATTTTTTTTGTATTGTATTATTGTACGACTACTGCCTGTGATAGTCCGTGAAACAAATAGTAACCTAAAGAGCCATTAAAATTGCGGTCGACACTTAAGTTGGACCGAACTGACTGAATGTGATAACATCACTTCTAAAAATTGTCATTAAAACCTAAAACTTATGCTCGTGCGCTCAAAACTTACCGGGGCCACTCTAAATAGTATCCATTAAAAATATTGGCATGATTCGATAATTTTTTTTTAAACATTTAACATCTGCAAAAAACAGTTTTCCGGCAATTAAAAAAAAAAAAATGTACTCCCGAATTTTTTTATTCGTCTAATTTGTTATGGATACATGACTAATTATGAGTTCTGACTCCTGAAAAATGTTTTCAACTAATAATACCTTATAATTACGGCTAAAAACACAAAAAAACTTTGCACCCCTAAAAAAGTGGCTGTCTATACAGACGAAAAAAAAACCTACACCATAATGCAAAAATATTTTTGAGATACCAGCTGTTTTCTGTTGATTCACCCTTACTCATTGCAACCCACAAACCTACTACCGTAACATCGTAATTCCCTATACTAAGTATACACAACTTTTTTTTTAATAAGTAAAAACTTTACTATAGCTATAATCATTCACGAAAGTCTTTTCATATTCTTCTAAACGCCAGTACTTAGAACCGCGTGTCTTAAAAATGTACTGAGTTATACTAATTAAAAAAAAATCAGTAGGTACATATTGGAAAAACAATTTATAAAAACTATCACTGTGCCTTGAATCAGGATGTGTGATGAAGTTTTTTGCGGTTTGGCAATCAAACGAAGCAAATACTGTTGATTTTGAAATGTCGATAGTGTTTTAAAATAGTATTTAAACAGCGAAAATTGTAATAAAAATGATCAGGATTAAAGGAAAGATAAACGGAAGAGGTTAAGACGAAAACAGTTGCTGGTCGATAAAATAATTTTCATTAAAAAAAAGGCATAAAATTGTTAATGTGACATTGCCGCCGATAGTATATTTTGTTTAGTACAAATATGAAATGGGTATTGATAAAAGCACTGTGAAGGCAATAATGTACTTAAAATTAGCCCATAATTATTGCATACAACTAGTACGAATCATGTTTTCGAGAAAGTTCAATTTAACGGTTAAAAACCTGCTCACAAATGATTAATTTTGATACTTTGCAATTATTTTTGCTACAAGCATCTGCTTGTTGTTTTAATTTTAAGCTACTTAGTTAAATCTCAGCCAGACACCAGAATTGTAGGTAATAGCTGTCTATGCCCACTCCACCGTTACCCAAACGACGGCACTAGTTATCATAAAAATTTAAATTATAACTTAATATTATATTAATGTAGCGAGTGAGGATGTTATAGAAAATTGGCAAATCAAATTTAACCAGCATGACGATAACAAGGATAGTTTAAGGGTTTTTCAGAAACTATTATTCCAAGTCAATAGGTATCCATACTAGATATTATATTTAATTATTGTTAAAGCGACACAACAATGTTCTGCGTGTTATACATTCAGTTGACATAAATATTTTCTGGAGATGATCAAATTATGTTTAAAAAAATTAGGTAATAAATTGTAGCCGCTAATGAAGATTTTGAATTTTTTTACTTATTTCCTTTATTATTATTTTTTTATGTATTAAATTACAATAAAGAGAGCTCTTTAATGATTTACTTTTAAAACTTTTAGTGAGTTACATAAAAAAAAAAAGGAAGGTACTACATTTCACAATTTGCCTATAATATATATTTTGTCCCGAGACGTATAAATTTGTATTTGTGTATCGTCAGCCGTAGCAGCTGAATCGCAAAAAAAAAAAAGAAGACTCACATGATAAGTATACTTATATATATATATATATATATATATATATATATATGTATAGATATCGCATTTTCAATTGTAATTTTAATGTTTATTGAGTTCGGCTAACGTGTAGGAACAACTGACGGTGGATTTTTATTCAAATAATTGGTGGTCAATTGCATTTTTTAAATTTAATTAGATTAAATTGTTCAAATAATAATACCCCTTGTATTGTCAACATGCTTTTAATGAACTCCGTGGTATGAAGAATGGAATAACAAAACACACATAAGACATTTTTACCAGATTACCCGATGCAATAAAAAATTGAATAATCTTTTTGGAAACTCTTATTGGAATTCATTATATGCGATTGAAAATTACAGTCTGGCCAATAACATGATATCGCTAGTTTGACGTATCAGTCGAATGACTCTGGAAGAAGTTTCACTTCATCCTTGCGTAGTGGTTTTTTTTTTATAAAATTATTCTTGCCTAAGCGTTTACTCGAAAACATAATTCTTTTACTTTAGAAAAACACTTGCGTGATTGGATGTGCGTTAAAAATTTTGCACTGTTTGCGTAAATGAAACGCAGTGCTCGTTTGTGTTGAAAATATTACACAAAGCCAAAAGACTGGCCAACACGACTTGTTGACGACTTTTTTAAAGTTATGATAAAACCTAACCTGTGTGAACCATTTTTTACCATACAATGATATTTCATTGTGATTTTTCCGCCCTTGGGTAACGGGATTTAGGGAGGGGTGATTTTGGAATCTCTTACAGCAACCTGTATATTAATTTATTTACTTATGCTTGTTAAGCTATTTTTTTGGTAAAAGCGAATTTGACTGAACTTTGAAGCTTATAACGTCAATCAATAGATCCGGAGCCTTTTGAGATATTGAAAAAAAAAATTTAATTTCTACAATAACCGTAAAGCGTTTGATGAAAGACTTTAAATAAATTAGTTAGATAAATTGGGTTAACTCATCAGCAGTTTATATAAATATATATGGTGGGGATTGTCCACCATACGCGAGTGCTACCACCGGCACAACTTTACATTAATCTAATTGTGTTTTACTTTCATACTGAGGTATAACAATTACCAATTTAATATCAGTTCTCGATTTTAATCAGCCAGAAAAAACTTAAGTAAAAAAAAAAAAAATTGAATTTGTGTAAACTTAAAGTCAAAAGTGGTACTTGAGCACAAAAGGAATTGCACGTGGTCTGATTTTAAGGAGTTTTGTGAGGCAATATTTAAGAAAAAAGAGGTTAAAATAAATTTCGACCATTCCAATACTTTTACCGGTTAATTTGTATACGATTCAAGGTATTGTTTTTAAAATAATTTTTTTCATGAGTAAAGGCCATTTGGGTTTTATTTAGACCAAAAATGCAGACAAAATGTCGACTAGGTACATAGAATGGTCCAACTTCAATTCTGTAAAGAGATTCGAGTTCTTCGGCTAGTTTATTATGTTATACAGGAAGCCCGATTTCATTAAAACAAATGTCAGTTTCTTGTAATTAAACAAATAAAATTTGCAATTTGTTCAATATTAAAAACAAAAATAATTGTGAAAAATTGAGATCACATTGTATAAAAACAATATGAAAAAATAAATTTGAATTTCTTATTAAACCCTATGAGATACTGAGTGGTTCATGATAAAAGAATCACCCTGTATATGCTGTGTAAAAAAAATACACTGTTTTATTTTTCAAAACAATTTTCTATATAATATTTTCTGTCGTTACGATTTTGGGTGGCTCGGTGGCAAACATCCGAACGCAAAAACAGCT